CCCCTAGATCGAGAAGATCGCCCTAGCCGTCGTAGTCTCGGCTCGCAAACTGAGCCCTTACTTTTAATCACATTCGATCGTTGTGCTTGCTACACTCCTGCTGCGCTCGATCCTACACAGTCCTAGCCAATCCGGTCGGATCGCCAAATGGGCCATAAAGCTAAGCGAATACGACATCAAGTATCGGAACAGGTCGTCTGCAAAGTCACAAGTGTTCGCAGATTTTCTCATTGAACTTCCAGCCGAAACAACAAACGAGCCGACCCTAGACAAAGTGTGGACACTGCACGTCGACGGCTCGTCGTCTAAACACGGCTCGGGAATAGGAATCCGCCTCACCTCTCCCACCGGAGAAATATTGGAGCAGTCTTTTCGCCTGAACTTCCACGCCTCGAACAATGAAGCAGAATACGAAGCACTGATCGCCAGCATACGACTAGCGCAGGGAATCGGAGTTCGAAAGATAAGAACCTTTTGCGATTCACAGCTTGTATCATGTCAATTTAACGGAGAATACGAGGCGAAAGATGGACGAATGGGAGCTTACCTCAAGGTGGTCCGAGAGTTGGTGCAAAAGTTCGAGGAGTTCGAACTCACGCGCATCCCCTGAGGAGAAAACACTTTGGCTGACGCCTTGGCAGCACTCGCTTCGACCTCGGACCCAGACCTCCGACGGACGATCCCAGTCGAATTCATCGAACGTCCTAGCATCGAAGAGGTGGAAGGAGTTCGGCTGATAAATCCTCCTGAACAAGAACCAGAGGACGACGAAGCCATTCCTATGGATGGAGACGCCTCACCGGCCGAGCCAGAGTACGGCTGCGACAAAGAATGGCTCGGAGCCATCCGAGTGTATATCGCCGATGGAGAGGTGCCAACCGACAAATGGGAAGCCCGCAAACTAAAAGCTCAGGCCGCACGGTATGTCCTCGTCGATAGCGAGGTGTTTAAATGGAGATTTTCAGGGCCTCTCATGACATGCGTCGAAGGAGCGGTGGCAAGAAAGATCATGAACGAGGTGCACAACGGCTCGTGCGGGAACCATTCCAGCAGAAGGTTGCTCGCTATCAAGATAAAACGGCACGGCTACCTGCGAGAAATTCACGGCGAAGTGCGAGAAGTGTCAGCGGCACGCTCCAACAATTCATCAACCTACCGAGTTGCTCTCGTCAATTTCGTCACCTTATCCGTTCATGAGATGGTCGATGGACATCGTCGGACCTCTACATCGCTCGAAGCAGAAGCGTTTTCTGCTCGTCCTCACGGATTACTTCTCCAAGTGGGTCGAAGCCGATTCCTACGCAAGCATAAAGGATGTTCAAGTCGAACACTTCGTCTGGAAAAATATCATCTGCCGACACGAGGTCCCCTACGAGATAGTCACCGACAACGGATCCCACTTCATCTCAACACGCTTTGAAGCCTTCTGCGAGAAGTGGAAAATCCGGCTCAGCAAATCTACGCCAAGATACCCTCAAGGGAACGGTCAAGCCGAAGCAGCCAACAAGACGTTCCTCGACGGTCTGAAAAAGAGGCTCAACGCCAAGAAGGGACGGTGGGCAGACGAACTTTAAGGAGTCCTTTGGTCTTATCGGACAACTCTGCGCCGAGCCACCGGGGAAACTCCATTCGCTTTGGTCTACGGATCGGAGTGCGTGATTCCCCCCGAGGTGGATTTCCCAGGTATTCGACGAAGACTTCTACCAGGACAGGAGGGCTTGAACCACTTAATGATGCTAGATGAGCTCGACCTAATCAACGAAAAGCGCGACCAAGCCTTAATTCGAATCCAGAACTACCAACAAGCAACGGCGAGATAGTACAACAAAAACGTTCGTAGTCGAAGGTTCAAAGAAGGGGAGCTCGTCCTCCGAAAGGTCTTCCAAAACACTGCCGAGAAGAACGCAGGGAAGCTCGGAGCAAATTGGGAAGTTTCTTACAAGGTCACAAAAGTGGTTCGTCCAGGAGTCTACGAACTCGCGACACTAGCTGACGAAGCGATTCCAAGATCTTGGAACGCAATGCATCTAAAGAAATATTATCAGTAAAGCTACAGCACGGCCAGCATGAACTACGGGACGGCTTGATCCCTGCAAAGGGTACGTAGGCAGCCCGTCCTCGGACGGGTTCAGCTGTCCCCCTTCCTAAAAAGGGGGGGGGGGGGAGTGGGTACGTATACACATACCTCCTTTAACTCTACTATTTTAGCTTGCTCACTTAGGAACATCACCACTTCGGCACATTCTCAGTTTGTTTTGAATCATCTACTTATTTCACGTTTACCTTGGATTTCTAGTTCGTTCATTATCGCTTCGGCTAGTTTCTCATTCCTTCTAAATCAACAACT